CTGGGAATTTCCATGCACGATAATATAAGCCTAATCAGGACCTCTGAATTCGTTCATGACATGCCTATTTTGAACTGTCATTTGGCCAAACCATCATTTCAAAAAAGTATTCAAACTCTTCACGTTTTCTTTTTCTCGAAACTGCTCACTGACTTCTGTTAAGCCCAATTGACCGCGACTTTCTCCACTCCTCTGACAGATCCTCTCTTGCTTCTCTCTTATTTCTTTAATCATAAAGTCTCCTTTGTGCCACATGTTTAATCAAATTCCAAAAGCCTGTTTATTTTAGGTCTCGCAGTCGATCATATTTAATCTGGATGTGCCTACGTCGTCTAGATTGTTCCTCGGTGCAGAAAAAAAAATTTCCCCGAAGGAAGCAGAACAAGACTTTTAGAGACTGACATCATTATCATTTGTCAGAAGAAAATAACTTTTCTTGGAGGACTGGTTGGCTTATGGAACAATAAATCTTTGAATTTCAGGAAAGTCCTATCCAGGAAACAGAAGCCACCTTCGATTTTCGTGATACGCTCCTACAGTCATGACTGTCATGTGGATCCGAAAGTTATCTGTATTTCTCTGATTATCCTCATGATTTACTTACCAAAGACAATGCTCGTCATGAGTCTCCCACTTCCCAGGATGTTCTAAAACTTTCTGGAACATCCATGAGACCACTATAAATAGACGGCTTTTGCCGAATGTTTATCAGTGTTCATTCCGTGTGCGTTAGCTTCGATAATGACTCGTGAGATATGGCTTTACCCATCCGTCAGCGTGACGAGATCCTCTTCCTCTCTTGCCATCCGTTGTGTACAAAGCTCGGATCGAAGGCCGTGGCGGAAGCGGTCGAGTGTGACGAGAGGACCGTGAAGCATCGGCTCGATCGATGGAAGGAATCAAAAGATCTGAAGATATGACTCGTTCTGGCCGACTTCGTGCGACGACGCCGAAACAGGAAGAACGGATTCTTTCGCCCGCCGATCGAGAGGTGTTCGCAACGACCCGCGACATCGAGAATCGTTTCAAGAGGAAAGGAGTCGAGATCAGCCATGTACCATTCGGCGCCGATCGAATGAAGCGGGGGGAGGATGCCAACTCTCTATGGGACCGCTGCCCCCCGCGTTACAAACCAAAACAAGTGTCAATCGATAGATCTTGATGAGTAGATCAAAGTTGTCAATGGACACAAATCTGTCAGAGAGTGCGATCGTTGAGTTTTAGGTCATCGAAGTTCAAATCTTCGGTCGCTCTAATTTTTTTGCTTACAAATGTATTAAATGCATTGTCGGGAGATACATCTTTGAAAAGGACTCAAACGATACCATACTCAATTATATAAACCATGTGTATGAAAAAAACTAAAACAAATTAAACCACCAAACTTTCATTTGCTACCCGTTAGGGTGAATCTGCACATAATAATAATAATAAATAAAATCAAGTCGGTTCTTCATCACTGGTCTCAAATACTACGCAGATGTCGCTCAGCAACTTTGCTGGCATTTGAATTTCGGGAGTAGCCCGTTGCCAGCCGTCACCACGAGGAGGTAGCTGCATGTTCCAGATCAGGTTTTTTTTAAATATAAAGTCGTAAAGTATTACATCAATCGTACCAGAGGCAGCGTTATTGCAATGAAGCGTGCTTTAGCACACAATACTTCATACCTAACAAGGCCTAACATCACGCTTTAATGCAATACTACTGCCCCTGGTACGGTTTACGTGAATAATAGTTAGTGCAACTAACTATATTGAGATATAATCAATAATGTTGTTTATTATTATGCTTTAAGTAGTTTTTGAGTATAAATGTAAGGCAGTCTCTGCCGATTATTCAGAATATGTATTCTTAGGACTTCCTTTTAATAAAGATAGTTCTCGTCTCTAACTGTCTACTTCCTTTTAAATGCGTTCACGGACAACACAGTACACTTGAGAATGGTATTGTAGAATTCTTCTTGTTGAACATTTTTGAACGATGTCTATTTTAATTTTAAAAAGCGATTGCATCTATTACCAAGTGTAATTTATATTGAAACGTAGCAAAAGAATTAACAACAGATTTGAACTTTGATGATCTGTAACTCAATGATCGCACTCTCTGACAGATTTGTGCCCATTGACAAATTTTATCTACTCATCAAGATCTATCGATTGACACCTGTTTTGGTTTGTAACGCGGGGGGCGGTTTTTTGCATCCTCCTTTGATCCTCCGATGTCCAAGCCTCCGCTCACTGAGGACCATCGAGACGATCGTTTGAAACGAGCTGAAACCCACCTGTCGATCGATTGGGACCGATCTTCTCGGGTGAGACGACGACGCGTCTGAATCGGGTAAAAGGGCGCGTCTAGAATCTGCCGGGAAAAAAAGGAAGTCTCCCGAACCGTAAAGTACCCCACAGAGGTGAACGTGTGGGATTGCTTTTCGAGCAGAGTCTTCCGTAATCAGCTAGGAACCGATTCCTCGATTCCGTCCCGAATCGACTGGTGGAAACTGCAGAAAGACGATGACCCGAAGCACGAATCGAAGCCGGCAACTGAGTGGAGAGCAGAGAATGGGAGAAGAAAACTCGATCGGCCGACCGCTCGGGCGGACCTCGACCGGATCGAAAACGTGTGGAAACCACGCGAGATGCGGTTGCAAAAGAAAAAGGAAAAAAACTTCGAACTTATCAGTCTCTTGTGTCAGGAATCAGACGCGAGTGGAAGGCACTCCCGATGGAATCGGCTGGAAGTCGTACAAAGTATGAAAAACTCGTCTTTCTGAAGGCATCGAAAGTCAGGGTGAAGTCATCATTAGTGAAGTCAGGGTGATGCATTAGTGATCAGTGTACATAAATACAATAATCATCACTTCATCGGCTTGGCTGATAAAGTAAGGGAGTGTGGGAGACTTGTGACGAGTACTGTGTATGGATCAATGATCTAAAATGGAAGCACCGGGTGAAGCAAAAAAAACCGCGCCGCTCTTTGAGATACTGAGGAATTCATGAGATAGCAGATAACTCGACAAAAAAATTGCAACTTCTACGCATTCTTTAAAGTTCTAAAATTCTTGTTCATTTTCCTCCAGCCGTTTTAGCACAGGAGCGAAGACGCGAAGACAACTCGAGTTTTATTTTTGCGTGAGGAAACGTATCGGTGGAAGAGAAGTTGGTTCGCGTGGTGCGCTTCGATCTCGGACCAGAGCTCCTCTGTCTGCCCATAAAAATACTACTCTTTTGCGAAAGGATGGGGCGGGGCAGAATTTTTCAAGAATTTTCTGGTAAAGGATGAAAGAAATGCAGCCCTACTATTAAGAGATTGATTCACAAGCTGCGAGAAACCGGTACATCTGAGAGGAAAAGAAGGAGCGGAAGACTAAAACTAGCCGGAACTGAAGGAAACTGCGTCGCTGTGGAAGAAGTAATTGTTTTTCAAGATGATAATCCTAGGATGCAATGTTCCTATCTGCAAATTGCTTGACGTTAGGACGATTCAGAGGTCTCCCCAGGGGATTCTCAAGTGAAAAAAAAAACTTGAAAAGAATAGTAATTCCTAGTGAGTGGGGCAGGTCCTTCCGTCGGCGTCCAGGTGCGAGTGCAAACATTAAATTCAAGTTGCTTTTATAAAGTCACTCGTGTGCTAAAACGACTCGAGATAAACGGGCAAAAATTTTCAGATCCCGGATGCAGATAGGTGTGTATCAAAGAAACTTCATTGTTTTACAGTAGCTCCTGTTTCAGAGGCGCCACAAACATTCCAAGAGCGGCGGTTTTTTTTTGCCTCACCCGATATAAGAATGTCAACCAAGCCGACTGCAAAAGTGAAAAATGAACTAATTCAATAAAAGCCAGAGCCTTGCATACCATTTGATGAAACGTCGGTCCGAAACTGGAACCCATTCTATGCATGATGTTACCGGGCAGGGGCATCTAACCCCTGCCCGGTCGGTTCGTGGCCATCTGAAGACCCTTTATGGGCTCGTCCCATATGTCATGCTATTCCCATGGGAGAAGTAATGATGTGGCTCAGAGGGAAAACTATGGCCCTGCCACGAAGGCCGTATCATCTTCCCGAGTACCCAAGCGTATGAAATGACCTGCCCGTGACGACAGCGACAACACATCTCGAGGAGTGAATAAACGTCTTCTTCGAACGCAACACCGAAGCAATTCTTGGATACGTACATCAGGGAATCGCTGGAAGCAATCGATACGATCACGAATCTTCGATCGTGAGGATGGGGTATAGATAAACCAGTCTCTCGGGATTCTATGCATAAAAGATATCCATTCCTCATACGCGGCTTGGAGTTAATGAGCGCCTGCTAATTGTTCATTGATCCGTATCTTCCCTTCGTTCGCTACCCACCTATCCTCGTTCCTAAATCTAATTTTCAGTCGAATCATGATTTCTGGTTTCCCTCCAGGAATTTTCGTGTCACCTTTCCTTTCCGGACCTTCCTTCCATTAGAGTTGAATTAAAGATAACCGATGACATCGTACCTTCAAAACATACGAAATTCAGTAACCGAATGGGACTTGGCCTTCCGTAGATGAAGAAAGGCTCATACGAAGCGAATAAAACGACATGCTGATGATATCAAGTTTGTCAGGATCATAGAGGTATAAACACATGAGGTACAGAAAGAATGCGATACGTGAGTGCGTCGAATGTGCTCTTTCACTTCCAAGGTGAGCATGCGAAGCCGACACGAGGTACGAGTCCTCGTGCCCTGCGGTTGTAAGGACCTCACGATTCGATTGTAGAGGTCAATGTCCACGGAAAGGTCGTTTCTCGGTACAAGGTCGTTTTGCTGCGATACGAGTCGACCGGCAGTCGAAGATCGTGACGCGGATCGTCTCCAAATTTGCGTAAGTGGGTGGGCGTGGGCGACTTATGAACAGGACTGTAGGTGGTGCGTGGGCGAGCCACGAACCATTCACAGTAGGGGGAGGAGTGCGCATGAATATCCTCTTCTCCCCTCCCCTGTACCCACGCATTTCAACCCACATATACATCACGGCCCCTCCCCGCTCACTCATTGACCTGAACTCATCGACTTCACCTGAACTCAGCCTCGTAAGATTCTTCTGATCGTCCCGAAGGGAAATAAGGCAAAGAAATGGGGAATTGTCTGCTGTGGCTGTGTCTTGTCATCTTCTCCACGCTCCTCGTCTCTACCTCTTGCGGACACGAAATGCCCATTTTCAGCAGAATCGCCCGAGCCAAGAAACGAGGTATGGACAAATTCAATCACATCTTCTCATCTCCTCTTGACAAGCCCGGTAGCCCTATTGATAGAGATTATTTTTCATAGAGGTTATTTTCAAGTCGTGTTCGTCCCTGATCAGACGTTTCGGTTCATACCGAAGTGTCCGATGTATTCGCTTCCTGGTCGTTGTACATTCCTGGCCAGAACTAAATACTGGATTCATTATTGGATCCCACTTGTTTTTTTTTATAGGTTACATACACCTCATTCATCATGCCTCATGAGCGAGTACGGTTATGTAAAAGATGGTTCCTGTTGTTAATGGTAACCGGATGCATCTTCCAAGACGATAGAGAAGGAAGCATGAACAGCGAAATGCAGGTTGGTTCACTTGCAAGCGACTAAGGCCGGCCGCACGCTGGTCACACCTTCTAGTGAGGTAAAAATCATAAATGTATCATGCATGTTTCATTGGGTGGAACATGTAGCAAATAGTGGGGCGCCGTACACATGCATGCACACATCCAACTCGTTTTTTTCATTCATTGAAGCGTGAATGAGAGAGAATGTTTGATGCGCCTTGGTTCTGCCCTTTCCCCTTAAGATTTGGTCGACCTCTGTAATGGCAAGAACAAGGATCGTTGCTCCAGCGATGAAATCAATTAAGTTTTTTTGTAATGGGAGCTTGAAGCAATGTTCGATCATGATGGCAGTGGTGTTAAAAGGATGACGATCGAAGTATTCAATTTGATCTAAATATGCTTGTTTCTCGACCGAACAGGTATCAAAAAGAAATCCCAGGTTTGTCTGTTAGTCAATCGCGATCAAAGTTTTCTTTGAGTCAAATTACGAAAGCAGCGCAAGTACAGACAGGCTGGAATTAATGAGTAGAAGTGGTCTCTCTTTTTTGAAGGAGATCCACTGAAAATGTTCTCGAAGGTAAGGCAAGAGACGCCCAAACCCCGAAGGAATAGGACCACAAACGGAAACAGATGCAAGAGGATATCAGGAATGCCCTTCTCGTTCTGCCTGACTCAATTACGTCATTCGTGATGTAAGACGAACTGACTGGAACAAAGAAGGGAGAGAAAGGGACATCATGGCTTAAACTAGAGGGTAGAAAAATAAGAGAGAGCTGGGGAGATAGGAAGGTGAAGCATGCTACAGCCCAGTATTGCATACAATGCATCCCATTCCCAATACAATAGGATCGTATGCGTCACGACGAACGGGCGCGTGAACAAACACGGGGAATGGGGAGTATGGATCCAACCGCTAAGGTGACAGCGCAATATGCACGTATGAATCCCGCCGAGTTCTATGGCGGAATGGGAGGTGGACTAATCACGGTAATGTGGTGCAAGCACATCTGGGCTGAAGGGTTTTGCACGTCATGGACGAAACGAGACGAGATGTGCACTTCATTCCAGTTGCATGGCACGTCATGGACAACCCCCTTGGGATCTCCCATAAGCATATCCCTCTAATGGAATGCATCTTCCTCGCATTCTAATGTCTCGTGTCGCTTCTGTCCCACCAACACTAGAGACAGACAAATAGACGTGGTCTTACAGTGTTTTCCACCCAAGGATGTCATTCTAGCAGAATGGCTCGAGGTCGCATTCTATAAATACATCCGCGTATAATCTTCATGGTCCAGTGTTAGTAATTAGGGAACAGCCTAATGCAGCATCTCGGTAATTGCTTTAATACCTCTTTCCTCGTTTTCTTCTCTTTTCTCTTCTTCCGCAACTCTTGATTGAGTTCTTTCCCCCGAGGATCCGAGGCCTTTAATTCCTTCCTCTGCAGAAAACTCTTCTCGCCGCGAAACGAAGTTTGATCGCCATCAAATAAGAGGGGCGGAATGGTATCCGACTGCACAGAAATCGAACAACTGCCTATGCTATGCACTCTTGACTCAAAATGGAAAATATGAATTACTCGAGACGATCTCATGAAGCACACATGGATGGGTGGCGACAGGATGTCTCTGTATCAGGTTATTTGAATCTCTTATCCTTTGACTCTAACATCTGTCTCTATCTGTCTAACGGCAACTGCGGAATGGAAGCATCAATGGTGACATGAAGTGATTCGAGTGCGGAAGGATGTTCTCAGCTCGTTAGAAGTTTTCAGCTGTCTTCATAAGTTTATTTTCCACTTCGGTCCTCTGGGTTCGTTAGGACACGGCACTGGTTCCTGTCTCTTCCACATCCCTCAGTTAGGTATCCTGCGATTTCCTTCCTTCCAGACCTAGGGCACCGAGCAGTGCAGAGTTGCGATGAAAACCCTCAATCCCTTCTCGTCATGGATCGATGGACGGGTTTTCACAAGTTTCCCCATTTGAATGTCTATGCCCTGTCGTCAACATTTGGCAACCGTCGTGGTCTTTCATTGCTGTACTCCCGAATAGTTTGCATAATGCATTCAAATCTCTCTTCAACGCTCGACATTTTGCTCAATAAGCTAATATAATGCAAAGGTGAAGATTATCAGACCTAGGGAATTGTCTGCAAGTGTGTTCTGCCAAATTCGGATGACCTCTTCAGTGACGCAGAACTAACTATAAAGGGAATGAATGGGTCACGAAGGATATTGAAGTGCCGTATTCTTCTTTCTCTCATCGACCCGTTCGGAATAGGCTGGATCCGGACACATTATAAATAATGAACATTCACGGTCTCTTTCTACGTGTTCTATCTCCTTCAGAACCTGAAGGAGCTTTTCCTGTCGTCATAAATTCCTAATGAGACTCGAGACAGCCTCTTTGATCATTCACTCCTCTCTGTATTCCTTTTGTTCTATCAAAATAGCAAAGATTCTATACGAGATGTCGGCTGGAATGGAGGAAAAGAGGAGACACTGGGGTATTCAGTTTCCGCAGTGGGAGGCGAAGGAAATGCATTGCCTGTGAGGGAGGGTGACCCGGTTCTCCCTTAGAACAGGCGGGGGAATTCTCCAAGGATAATTTCCCCAATTCTCCCTGCTGAATCAGTCATGCTAATTTTACCTGCATACGGTTCTATTCGACCTGCCCGTCATTAAGATAGTTATCTGGCTCTCTACGTCTATGTATGAAATGTTTAGTACTGCGGCAAGTCCTCTAACGACCAAACCCGTCTCATTATATGAAATTTTGATGATTTTTTAATCAGCAGTCCCCTAAAATAGAACTTTCCAAAGTTCATCCATTCATAATGCTTCCTTTTGAATGTATCCGCCTCTTTATTTCATTCAATCGTTTAGTCACTCGTTAGATTCAGTAGGACGTATGACTTCGAGGAAGGGTGATATATTCCTCTTGAACTTTGGTTCAGACACTGCAGAGGTACATTTCCAAGAGCCCTGTAGGTTAATCATCTTGATGTCGGTGCGCCACTTTGCTTGCATTGCTGAATTAGGCTGGAAGTGGGTTCACTTTCGTCTCCCTCTCCATCGTGAGGAGACCCGACTAATTTTAAGAGCTGGCATCTTTCAACGCGAAGGAAGATTAAAGGAGATAACGACTTGAAAGGGCTTAGAAGAAACTAAAGATGAAGGAGTCACCTGCAGTCCCAACTTCACCCTAAAAAGCTTCTCGTGACGTTTTCGATATCTTCACCTATTTCTTGATCCAATCAGGAATGTGTCGGATTCTAGAACCGTTGAAGAGAGATAATTGCAAACATTAGATTATTCGAGAATATATTATGTAATATAGAATAGAAATAATAAATGACGGCACTTTATCCGCTCGTCTCATTCTTTCTCGTCGGACAGACAGCGAGGTACTGAAATCCAATCCAAATAGAATTTCGCCTCGGCCCTCTCGCGAGCCTCATGCATTATCTTCCAAGACTTCACCTTATAAGGAAGCGGGTCGGCTGGAATTTCATATACCAGATGCGTCCAATGCTCCTCAGATGAAACATATTACATTATATAGCAACCCATCCTCATCTACTCTGTTTCATTCTGCAGCTAAATAACAGGAAACGTCGACGGGTTGGCTCCACTTTATAGTATGAGGTAAGAAGGGCTCACGAATTAACGGGAAAGCTATACGGAGGCGAATGTAATCCCGTGGATTCCTTTCATTACAAGTAGGTAGGGCTTGATCAAGATGGATAAGACCTATCTCGTTTAATTACTCCTTGCCTACCTCTGCCTTTGCCTAGCACGCGGTAAGAGAGAGAGAGAGAGGAGGGACAGAACCAGAGCTCATTACTGACTCGAGAAGAGACAGTCTGAGAGAGAATTCATGGGCAACCTTGGCCTGATGTTGATACATAACTTAGAATGAGAATATAACAGGATGCAAGCAATGGCAAACGAGGCATGGGGAATCCGATGAGCAGGCCGCGTAGATTTAACGGCGACAGAGAAAGATTACTTTGTGTGCGACGGCAAGGCATGGAGGGATGGAGGCATGGAGGGATGGAAGCATGAAGGTCATCGGTGTGCGACTTCCATTCTTATATTATCATGATACAAAATGCTCAGACAAAAGCTTCTGCGAAGTTCCGATGTCCGAGTACAGGTCGTTTCACAGACTTTGCCGAGGTTTCGTCTGGGACCGATCGACCCCAACGGATTTTTGTTTAGGTCCAGTCTCTCGATCCGGATTCGATGCGTGATAACTAGGCCCAGGTATATAAGCTTAGAAGTTTCCACTTTTTTCTAATTCTTTTTCAAATGATTCCGGAATCCTAACTTTCAATCTGTTGGTATTGAAATAAATTTAGTTAATATTTCGGTTTCATTTGAAAAGAAAAGCGAGCATTTGAATGCTACGAACACTGCTCTCCCTTCGAGTAGGTTCCCGAGTGACGAAAAAAAGAGAAAAAAAAAAGTCGAAGATGAACATTAAGAAAGTTGTGGGTGACTCGTGCCCGTTGCCTCATGCTTCGTCCTCACGCCCTTCGGCTTTCCCAGTCGTTCCACTCATTCTTCCTCGTTAAGACATATTCCTGTAAACTTGTGAATGCATTATGTGTCCCCGTTCTATCTCAATGGGCACGAAAAACACCTGGGAAATCGTGAGGA